TTCAATGCGTATGTTACAGTATGGTCAGGACGTGTGGTCTAGGGTCAGGCTGTGTGATCTGGGGTCGGGCCATGTTGTCTGGGGTCGGGCCATGTGGTCTGGGGTCAGGCAGTGTGGCCAGAGGTCAGGCTGTATGGTCTAGGGTCGGACCATGTGGTCTACGTTCAAACCATGTGGTCTACAGTCAGGCTGTATGTTCTACAGTCAGGCTGTATGGTCTAGGGTCAGGCTGCGTGGTCTAGGGACAGATTGTGTGGTCTAGGGTCAGGTTGTGTGGTCTACGGTCAGGCCATGTGGTCTAGGGTCAGATTGTGTGGTCTAGGGTCAGATCGTATGGTCTAGGGTCAGGCTGTATAGTCTAGGGTCGGGCCATGTTGTGTGGGGTCAGGCCTTGTGGTCTAAGGTCAGGTCATGTGGTCTGGGGTCTGGCCGTTGTGGTCTAGGGTTGGTTGGTGTGGTCATTTGTCAGGCCGTGTGGTCTAGGCTCAGGCCGTGTGGTCTAGGCTCGGGCTGTGTGGTCTAGGCTCAAGCTGTGTGGTCTGAGGGTCGGGTCACCTGGTACAGCGCAAACACCAGTAGACTTGGGGTTTTGCCAAGGCCAGAACAACAAACAGAACCCAAACTCCACAGGCAAAACTAACTAACTGTACTACATTTTGATAAAAGAGCTAAAGAATAACAGAGGACTAATTTACCCTTATTTCATGTTTAAAACGTTGTCACCAGTTGTCAGTTTCATTGAGAAAGAGAGAGAGAAGTTTGTTAAGAAACTGCCTGTGTTATTTTTCTCTGCTACACACTGTGATGCTAGCTTTGCTGCACGGATTCCCCTTTATTTACTTTACATGAATGGAACAGAAAATGAATGCTGGCGTGCTTTGGAGCTTTAGCTTGTCTCAAAGTGACTCACTGCAGTAAAAAATTAAGCTACCGTGACTGGAAGTTGGCCTAGAGCAGCAAAGTTAACTCTAACCTGGAGAGACAGTTCCTCTGATCCTCGTCTACGGCCAGTGTGCAGTATTTTCTGTACAGATTAGGTGCTGAATTATGAAAATGCTGCTGTAACTATGAAAAACTCCTTGTTTGTTAATGTGGAAAGGGCGTGGAGTTTTACATAAGAAATGGGTGCTATCCAGTGGTGAAGCAGGTAACATAGCCATACTTATGAAAAAGAGCAGTTCAGATTAATCTGCTCAGGGAAGGGGACTGCAGCACAACACGCATTACAGTATGTTCCTCCGCATGTTTTATGCAGTTACATATTTCCACCACAGAGGTCGCCAATTTCTCAAATTTGCCAAACGTGCAGCTTAAATGCGTTTTTTGACTCATCAGTTCTGCCCTGTTTCCTCTCAGGTGGCTGTACAGACACAGTTCTTGCTCATTTTATTCAGTGGCAGATCATATTTTACCACAGCTGGAAAACACCAGTCCTCCACTGCCTCTATTACTGAAGGTGTGCCTCAGGGCTCAGTCCTTGGTCCACTTCTCTTCATAATATACTGGCTTTCCTTTGGGCAAATCATTCACTGCCATGGTCTCAGATTTCATTTAATGCATAAGGCAAAGAAAAATGGAAAAATCTTAACAAGCCACCCAGGTATATGTTAGCACTCACTGTAGACATCTTCGCCACCCCATTCCCTGACACAACTGACTTAAAGGACTGAATTGACGTGCTCTAAATAAGTGCAGTGTAAAGTATGCTATTATTGTCATTGTCATTGTTGGGGTAATTGTCAGACTTTCACAAACTGTCCAAAATGTTAGTCTAAACTTTGACCAGTGGCTTATTTTCAGCCCCTCAGCATTGGGCTGTGGAGCAGTGGAACTGTGTTCTCTGGAGTAATGGAGCTCCATCCAATACCTTTGGGATGGGTTGGAGATCCAGAACTGACCATCCAACATCAGTACCTGACCTTACTAATGCTCAATCAAATCCTCACAGCAATGTTCCAACATCTAGAGCCTTCCCAGAAGCGTAGAGGCTGTTACTGCAGCACAAACTCACTATTAACACCTTCATTTCAGAAGAAACGGTGGACGAGCAGGTGCCTACAGATTGTTGGACATATAGTGTATTTGTTTATTCAAAACTTATCCAAAACCACCTGCACACGAAGAGTTCAGCTCATATCTACTACTTTATCAACTTTGGTTTGCCTCCTCTTTCTACTTTCAAAGCTTTACACTATCTAGACTGTCTAGCTGACCTTTTACTTTAAGGCATCCCTATTTAGCCACACAATCTGACCAGTGGTCAGACCAGAGATAGGAAGGTCATTCAATGCTTGGCCCCAGATATTGGACTCTTCATTTTGTCGGCGTATCGTGATCTGTTCTGAGAATTTGGTGACGGCCCCTTAAACTTTCTTAAATCCGCCAAAACAGTAAAGCATGTACACTTTTAAAAAGATGGTTCTTTAAAGACAGCGGTTCTGTAAGGAACCATGAACACTCAAAGAACCATTCGCATGCTTATTCTTCATATTGACAGAGAATGTGTTGTATATGGTTCTATATAGCACCAAAAAGGGTTCTGCTATTGTTGTGATGTCAAGCTTGTAACAATAGCAGAACCCTTTTTGGTGCTACATAGAGCCATATGTAACACATTCTCTGGAGAACCATTCCACCATGCAAAGAACCATTTAAACATGAAATGGTTCCATGTAGAACTCATGATTCTAAATAGAACCACTGTGTTTACTAAAGAACCCTTGAAAAACCATCGTTTGCAACATGGCTGAAGGGATCCGATTACCAAATACACATCATAATGGTAAAAACAGAAACAGTAACATGTTGTTTATGGTTCTCTTTAGCACCAAAAAGAGCTGTCCAGCTTGTAATATTGTAAGAAATATTTTTGGTGCTATATAGAACCATTTTCACAGGTTCTATCACATTCTCCTTCAATCTGTGTAGAGCTACCGAGCCTCATTCACCACTCTAACCAATCTTTCTAAGTGTGTTCTTAAATGTGTTCTTGAGAGAGGTCCTAAGAAAAAGACACGTTCTAAAAGCGCAGAACGGTTCTAACCTTTGTGCTCTTGAGTGTGTGTAGATTCTGTTCTTACCTAAGAACAAATCCCAAATAAGGAACACTGGTGAAGTGAGTGAAGTGGAAAAAGAAGACGAAGAAATTTCTTCTTAACGATGGTTGGTGAATGAGAAGAACCCATGAAGAACCACCTTTTTTAAGAGTGTAGAACCGGAGCTTTCTGTGAGCTACTGTGTTTCCTATCCGTGTGTAAAAGGTGCTCGAGTCTCCTTTATTGCTGGACGCACTGTGATTTTCTCTGAGTGAGTTTATTCAGTGCAGTACCGATAATAAGATCAATAAGAGCTTATTATTGTTTTGTTTACTCAGAGTAAAACAATAACAGACTGTGATGTGTGACTTATACTCATATTCATGTTTTCTTTTTGAAAAAGGTAGTTTGTGACACAAATAAAATAAAAATCTATTAATCTTTGGTATCAAATAAATAAATGAAGCAACAGCGCTGATGAATCACATTATTAACAGAGCAGATTAAACAGCAGAAACGACCATGTTTTGGCCTTTAAGGGTTAATACTGCAATACCCTCCACTATATTCCACACTTTGTTTTTTGTGGTATTTATTAATTAGTGTTTCTTTATTTAACATTCTGTGAAGTGATCTAAGATCGAAAAGATTAGGTTAATAAACAAAAATATGACTGTTTAGTCTTATTATCATTAATTGTTATTAACTCTTAATAACAAACTGTTAATTATTAAGACTGATGGTCCATAATTATGAAGTGTACGTGGTTGAGTGCGAGAGAAAAAAACTGTGCATCTGTAATTGTCAGGCTCCAGGCAAGTCACTGTTAATGAGAATACAATAAGCAGTCCATATGGTCTGTCTTCAGGCTCTCTCTCTCTCTCTCTCTCTCTCTCTCTCTCTCTCTCTCTCTCTGGCAGGTGAGAGTGAGTGAGTGGTTGCTGAGCCGTATGAGCTGCAGTACATTTCCTGTCAGCACTGCAGGAACTCTGACTCTCCCTCAGAAGATAGATAGATAGATAGATAGATAGATAGATAGATAGATAGATAGATAGATAGATATGCGTTTAATTAGATAGATAGACAGACAGACAGACAGACAGATAGATAGACAGACAGACAGACACAGATAGGTAGATAGATAGATAGATAGATAGATAGATAGGCATAGAGTAACATAGATAGATAGATAGACAGACAAACAGACAGACACAGATAGATAGACAGACAGACACAGATAGATAGATAGATAGATAGATAGATAGATAGATAGATAGATAGATAGATAGGTGTTCAATTAGACAGACAGACAGACAGACAGACAGACACAGACAGACAGACAGACAGACAGACAGATAGACAGATAGATAGATAGATAGATAGATAGATAGATAGATAGATAGATGAACAGTAGTTGTAGAACTACAGAGTGAAACTATATGGTCAGTGGGGCTGATAAAATGGACAGTGAGTGTAGAAACAAGGCAGTAGTTTTAATGAAGTGGCCGCTCAGTGGGTAAAGACAGAGACACACAGACAGACCAGCAGACATATAAACACAGACATTCAGACAGACAGACAAGTAGAAATATAAAGACAGATATACAGATTGACAAATAGACAGACAAACAGATGGATATACAGACAGATAGATAAATGGACAGGCAGTCAGACAGACAGATACCCAGATAAATAGATGACAGACAGATAGACAGATCATTCTGTGTCTGTCTGTTGATATCTCTCTCTCTCGCTCTCTCTCTCTCTCTCTGTTTTTCTCTTTAACTGAAGTAAAACATCTGTCAACACACTCCGCCCACTGCCCCCCCACCAGCAAACACCCATCTGTCTTTCTCTCTCGCTCTCTCTCAGCCACTCCCTCGCTCTGGGTTTGGTGCGGGTAGAGGGGGATGAGTGCGGAGGAAGAGACAGACGCTACCACTGAGTGAGTGAGTGAGAGAGAGAGAGTGTGTGTGTGTGAGAGAGAGAGAGAGAGAGAGAGCGGGTGAGTCCTAATCTCTCTGTTCTGTATCTCTGACCGTTTGATCTGCTATGTTTGTGATCAGCCTCAGGATCTGCTCATTTACCTGGATTTAAATTTGTGAATACAGAATATTGAGGTTGCCAGATCAGCAGAATCTACGGTAAGAAAAGTTATTCTACCGTTTGTTTGTTTGTTTGTATGTTAGTGGTGGTGAATGTTCTGCTGTAAGAAGGACGGACGGATGGATGGAGGAAGGACGGATGGTGTGAGCGTGTAAATGTGCTCAGAAGTGTGCGCTGCTAATGCAAAGTTTATGAAATATTAAAAGGCAGCTCTCTGAAGTGCTGCAGCAGTGACTGAGGGAGGGAAACAGGAGAGCATGAACATCACCTTCATCTCCATTTCCTTCCTTTTTTGGGAATTAATCAGTGCAGATCGGCTTATAGTCAGTTTTACACTGTAAAAATAGAAAAACAGAAAAACAGAAACAGTGTGAAGTATTTGTGAGGTGTGAGATGATTTGAAGATTGTTTAATTCTTCTCAACTACAATTTTGCTTCAATTAAATTAAAGAATTTTTAGACGCAAATAAACTGCTTACTGCTGCATGAACTACATGCTGAGAAAATGTTTTTAAAGTGTGGAAACTGGTACATGACATCATTTTTACTGCAGAAATATGACAAAAAACTGATTTATGTCTTTTTGACACACTCTAATTCTCTGACTCTCTGTTTGTGGTGGCAGGATGCCAAGATGTTAACATACTAAGTCAAAATAATGACACATTCTCAAAATTTTGGCAAAACTTTGAGATTTTGAGTTATTAATATGACAATTTGACATACTATGTTGCAATAAGGAGTTATTAAATTTAAAAATATGCTGGGATAGTAAGTCGCTATTTCAAGGTATTAATCAAAATAAGGTCATTATTTTGAGACAGTAAGTAAAAAATATAAGATAAATAAATAAATTTTAAGATACATTTTTTATTAGATAATTATTAAAGAGTCTAAATCAAAATTCAAGCAAATAGTGATTATTTTGAGAGGTTAAGTGGGAATTCTGTGATGCTGCTGTCAGAAACAGAGAGGGAGAAAACAGTAAGCGTGGTATTTGTCCTCTGCTGGACAGAAGCAGCGTTCGTACTGACGTGGTCTGAAGAGAGACGTGTTTTTGGAAACTCAGCAAAAACTGATAAACAGGTTCATAAAGGTGAATATTGTTCAGTTCCTTTGTTGGTTGGTTGGTTTGATGTGCCATGGAGGAACGTTGTTTTGTTTCACTGTGTACTTATATGTAGCTGAGATCACGATAAAGCCTGTCTTGATCTTGATGCTGATAGGTGTTGGCAGCATAGTGTTGATTTATAAATGAAAACTTCATATTTTTCCATATTTTCAGAGTTTAGAGTAGATTAACAGGGAGATCAGAAGGTTTAAAATGAGCCATATTTGGGCTCCAGTAGACTCTGTACTTGGGTATGAGCTGTAGGGGGGTGGTCTCCTCCTGCAGTCGTGCATAATTCATGCATCATAAATGTCTTGCATGTGTGTGTGTGTGTGTGTGTGTGTGTGCATACGAGTTCTTCAGATCTGAGCATAAGGACGGCCTGCTTTCAGCTTCAAAGCCCAATAATGAGACAGCATTTGCACTTCAGCACTTTAATCACGTTTTTCGTCGTCAGACTTCAACCCTTTAATGCACGACTCTCTCTCCATGTGTTCTATTCACCTCAGCTCGTTAGCATAAGCGTTAGCGACACTCGCATCTAAAGCAGACCGATCCACAAACTGACACCAGACACTGAGAAAGGTGCTGCATTGAACTGCAACGACTCAAATGTGTACATCATTCATGGTGCAAAATACAGGAGGTCCTGAGGGGTCCGGGACCCCCTGATTAACCTCTTGGGCCCCCTGAATGTCTCAAGATCAAAATTCTAGGGGGTCCCTGAAAATACACTTATGTTCTGCTGTCTGTCTGTTAGTGAAAAATAGACGAATACAGATTCAGTGAAGCTCATTGTTTATCTGCTTCACCCACAGCGGACCCTTTTCATAAGAATCAGAAGAGTGTAAACATTGGATAAAACCAGTTCTGCCATTGCCTTATGGACAATTACTGACCTCAGAAATACAGGCGCTCGTATCACTTCAGCACCACAGAAAGGTGTGTCTCTTTATCTTTGTCATAGTTGTCTAGAATGAAATTGGACGGGTGTGTCGAGAACTGTTGGGGAACCAAACACACAACAATGAGTGTGTATACATGCACTCAATAATCTGATCATAATCGGATTTCTGCAGTTATCTGATTATTCAGATTGTGATGTAAACACCATACTCTGATCTAGAAATGCGATTAAGAAATCTGATAAAGATGCTGGATTTTAGCTCAGTAGTCAGATTTCTCAGTGCATGTAAACTCTTACTCTGATTTCTTTCGGATTTCTCAGTCAGTGCGAGATCAGATGGTGGATATCGTGAGACTCAGCAAAACACTTTTGGAGCGGCGCTGAAAGCAAACACAAAATAAAGGGTTAAATATTCTTCATCTTCTAGATGATGTTTGTTCATATTTTCAGGTAAAGCGGCGCGATGTTTAAAAAGAAACAGCGGCATGAAGTTTGAGTTTTACGTTACGTTTACGTCACGTCTTCTTCTGTGAGGTTTATTGGCTGGTTGCAAAGCAGAAATCTGATTACTGTCTGACTCATGTAGACCCGGAGTTTCCCCATTATCTGATTACTCAAGTGCATGTAAACCTTTTGATTGGATTACTGACAAAATCTGATTTTCTGCAGTTATCAGATTATTAAGTACATGTAAACGCACTAAATGTGGGAGTCCAAACTAAATAAAGATATAAAAGCTTTGTGGAAAAATTCACAGCTGTCAGAGCACAGTAGCGCCAGCTAACGTCTACAGAGTGATAAATCGATAGAGGTGAAAATAACTATAACCAAAATGCTAGATTAGCCATGTTAGCTGGAGACGTTGAAACAGCTTGTTAACAATAAACTAGTTGGGAAAAAGCTAAACATCCACACATTCCAGCAGGGGGCGCACCGGGTCGTCATGACCCATAATGCCACTGTAGATGTTTTACACAAACACCGGCTCCAGTAAATGAACATCTCGGCTCCAGTGAATGAACATCTCACTCTCTCAGATACCGACAGCTTTAGAGGGAGAAGATGAAAACTGTTCCTCTGAAAGTGGCTGAAGCAGCGGCTTTAAAGCACAAACTGCACGTTAACGTTAGTCAGAAGCACTGAAATGCAGACACAGAGGTTCTTTTACTCCATATGACAAAGTTTATTTCTTTATTAATCACACAGACTCATTTCTCCTCTGTTCATCGTCAGCAGACAAACCACTGAAACTGAGACGAGGCTGTTTCTGCTTCAAACTCGAACACTCGCGTGAGCTGTATGCGCTCTACTCATCATTGTCGTTATTGTCGTTGTTTTAGCAGAAGCAGCTTCACCTGCAAAGAGAACTTCCAGCAGAAACACAACGCAAAATCTTCTGTCTTTGGTGTTCTTAACTAACTCTGCCTCAGGGTGGCGCTGTAGCAGACTGGCTCACCCTTTAGGTCCATCACAGCCTACATTCTTAAAAAAGATTCTTTACTAAAGACTGGTTCTACACAGAACCATGAACACTCTAAGAACCATTTGCATACTTAAAGGGTTCTTTGCCTGGGGAAATGTCTCATCAAACTGATGGAGGATATGTTGTATATGGTTCTATGTAGAACCTGTTTGAAAAGGATTCCTAATAGCACCAAAAAAGGTTCTTTAACAGCATACAAACCCGACATCTTAACAATAGCAGAACCCATTTTGGTGCTATATAGAACCTTTTCCGAAAACATTCTATATAAAACCATATACAACACAATCTCCATCAATCTCAAGAACCATTTCACAATGCAGAGAACCCTTTAAGGATGCAAATGGTTCTTTGAGTGTTCATGGTTCTATATAGAAGCATTGTTTTACTAAAAACATTGAAGAACCATGTCTTTAACAAGTGCAGCTGTAACTCTGCCTGGATTCCTCTGAAAACCTTTACCAGCCGTTAAAGCATCAGCACCACTATAGTGAGTGAGTTAGCAGCTGGTCAGCACTGGAGTAGGGAGCCAAAATGGGACTCCCTCGAATACCAGGGGGCCATTCGCATACTGACGTCATTGACACATGAATAAAATACAACTTTCCACCATAACTGGACTCATATGAATAAAGCCAGTTCAGTTCAGCCCTCAATATGGAAATCTGATATACGGGCAAATATGCACATGTATCATAAAGGATCAGGCATATATTTTAAAATATATGTACATATGTGTTTGTAAGTATTAAGTATTGGGCACATGCATGACGTATGGATCACACATATGTGTCAGATATATGGTTGAATACATTCCAGCACAGTTATAATTGTGACTGTGCTATTAGGGAAAAACATGGTTTAATTGCACAGTTTACATTGTTTTCTAATGAGTTTAGTTATGTAGCTTGTGTGTGTGTATATATATATATATATATATATATATATACATACACACATACATATCGATGTTATCGGAAGAAAACCTCGTATCTCCAAAATGACAACTTTACAGGACAAGGGAAAAACATACTTTAATTTTAATGTAAGTCAATGGAACCAGACATTTTTCCAAGTCATTTTGGGCCGTTTCTCTTTGTCCAATCATCATAAAATTTACATACTATGTAAAAGACAACAGGTATTTTCAAATTATGTAAAAAACTGAAAACTGACAAAAATTGAGATACGAGTTTTTTTTTCCGACAGCAGCTATATATATATATATATATGTGTGTGTGTGTGTGTGTGTGTGTATATATATATATATGTGTGTGTATATATATATATATACACACACACACACACACACATATTTCACACTGGCGCTATGAGGCTAATATAGCTAAGTAATGGAAGTGTAAACCCCACCGACTGGCGTGGTGCATGCATCACACACCTCAGATTGTGTGATGTTGTTATCTTCAATAGTCTTGATTCTGTGGTTTCTGACACTGTATGACTCACTGTCATCTATAAACGAAAGTACATTAGCACAGCAATAGCTAAACACAGTAACAGCCACCATGGAGCCTGA